ATGTAAACTTCTCAAAAAATTACTTGCAACTGAAGATTCAGGTTCTGAATAAAAATTAGTTATTGAAATTTTCTTTTCCTCTAAAACTATCAATCATTTGAAGTAAACAATGCCAAAGTATTATAAACAATATTTTGTTTTTATGTACTTATTCTATTGTCTTCCAAAACTATTTAATTTTTATTATTTAAAATAAAGATCTTAATTTTTTTAGGTTTTTTAAATAATTTTGTAAATAAATATAGATTTACTTTTATGGAAGATATTTTATTATAAGTTACTTATTATACATTAACTTACTTATTATACATTAAGTTACTTATTATACATTAAATTCCACATTATTATTAATTATAAAAAATATTTTGTTTATATGTATGCGCTTGAAATGTTAGCTTCATTATATATATATATATAAAACATAATAGAAAAATTAATGTGCAATTATATTCTTACAATAAAAACATTTTTTACATATGAAATTCACATTCATTGATTGTCGATACATTTGTAAGTACAAACTATAACTCTAAATAATAAAAGTATTAAAAAGTTTCATGTTTGTTTTTTAATTAGAATAACTTATTTAATACTTATCAATTCATCAATATATAATCCATATCAATATATTTTTATATTATTGTACAGAAAATATTTCATTAAATAACTGCATCCTGCGATCTCCTTGTACTTCACAATTAGGAATATTAAGCTCATCATTATATATATTTATGTTATTAATGTCATTGTATTCAGGAAAATCATACACGTCATTCTTATCAATGCAATAATTATGTAGTACGCAAGCTGCAATCACTGTGTTAGGTTGTAGCCGGACATTGATGAATTATCTTTACCTTCTGTGGTGGTTTACCTTATTATGTCTGTCCGTTGTTACCTAGTTGGTCGCCAGCTTGTTTTACCTTCGCAACAAGCAAGGTCGTCTTGGAATCTTTGGGCTGCCGTGTGCCTTCGTTGATCAAATCGCAGTGCCCTTCCTTCTTATCTGGTGGAACCTCGATGTCGTCCTCGCCTCTTACAGGATCGCTTCTAGTCCTCAGGCTGCTATTGGACGGGCTGAACCATGCATCAGACTTCGTAGTTCAATTTCTATTTTAGTCTCGCTAATTGTTCTCTTGTATTTGACTTAATGTCCGTTATTCTAACTCGCTTATCGCACAGTGGATGGGTGAACGTATTTCTGACTCGAGTTTATATAAAAATATAATCTTTATTTCACAAACTTAATCTATTCGGTCACTCGGTCACATTCACACTTATAATCGTTCGTATTAAAGTCTTTTAGACTCAACAGGGCTTGAGTTTACCCTTACTCGCGTGTCGCGTTTCGTTTTCCGGGCAATGGCGTTACTACGCACCTCTTTTTCTGCCGTAATTATTCCGCGTTCGTTCGCGTTAATCGCCCCTAATTTATTAATAACTATCGTCACGGCCCTTAATAAAACCGATCCGATCTTTAGTTCTGTCCGATCGCGTTTTTCACGATACTTCTCAACGTTTTTCTGACCGCGATTTATTCAACGTCAACGCCGGTCCGTTGCTGGGATCGAACTCTCTTCTTTCTTCCGCTCTACCCTTTCCTCTACGGTTGACTTCCGCTTTCTTCTCCATTCTTATTGGTTCCCCGCCTCTTGCGCCTAATACGCTATTGGACGGCTTGCCGATTGGTCGTTTGGTTAAGAGGTATCTTCCTTTCACTCTGAGGGTATATCCCTCCTTGTCATACACACTCATTCCTTATTGGCTAAAATGACAATGTTAATTAAACTTAATTTTATCTGTTAATATGGTTTACAATTGTGACCGAATACATTCGTCCACGATTATAATTTATTTTCGTTTAACAATAGGAGATACTTACCTTGGAAAACCAGGAGGTGGCGAATGAGGTCCAGGTAGAAGAAGAAATCAGATAAACTTCACCTGTAACGAAAACTAAAAAGGAAAATATTAATTA